ACCGTGGACCTCTGATGTTTATACAGTGTTCTCTGATTGTGCCTATGGCACCTCTGCTCTTCACTGGTTCTATTCTGCATTTTCTTCCATGTCGTTCACTCCAGTACGTTGTTATTTTACTGTGTAGATTTGGTACTTGGCCCTCCAATATCTTCCAGGTGTATATTATTTGATATATCTCTCGTCTTCTTTCTAGTGAGTACATTTGGAGGGCTTTGAGACGATCCCAATAATTTTGGTGCTTTATCTCGTCTATGCGTGCCGTATATGTTCTCTGTATTCCCTCTATTTCATCAATCTCTCCTGCTCTGAAGGGGGAAGTGAGTATTGAGCAGTACTCAAGACGGGACAACACAAGTGACTTGAAGAGTACAACCATTGTGATGGGATCCCTGGATTTGAAAGTTCTCGTAATCCCTAAACGTTAGGTCGTCAGACATCATTATTCCCAAATCCTTTACATGCTGTTTTCCTACTATGGGTACATTTGATTGTGTTTTATACCCTGTATTATGTTTAAGATCCTCATTTTTACCGTACCTGAGTACCTGGAATTTATCACTGTTAAACATCATGTTATTTTCTGATGCCCAGTCGAAAACTTTATTAATATCAGCTCGAAGTTTTTCAATGTCTTCAGCCGAGATAATTTTCATACTGATTTTTGTGTCATCTGCAAAGGATGATACGAAGCTGTGACTTGTATTTTTGTCTATATCTGATATGAGAATAAGGAAAAGCAGCGGTGCAAGGACTGTACCCTGAGGTACAGAGCTTTTAACTGCACTTGGACTAGATTTTATATGGTTGACCGTTACTCGCTGAGTCCTGTTTGACAGAAAACTGAGTATCCAGCGTCTTACTTTACCGGTTATTCCCATTGACTTCATTTTGTGTGCTATCACGCCATGGTCACATTTATCGAAAGCCTTTGCGAAGTCCGTGTATATCACATCAGCATTCTGTTTTTCTTCTAATACCTCAGTGACTTTGTCGTAGTGCTCAAGTAGCTGTGAGAGGCACGATCTTCCCGCTCGAAATCCATGTTGGCCTGGGTTATGAAGGTCATTGGTCTCCATGAAATTGGTGACTTGACTCCTAATCATTCTCTCAAATACTTTTATTATGTGCGATGTTAGTGCAACTGGTCTATAATTCTTTGCCAATGCTTTGTACCCTCCCTTGTGTAGAGGGGCTATGTCTGCTACTTTAAGTGCATCTGGTATCTCCCCCGTGTCCAAGCTCTTCCTCCACACTATACTGAGTGCCTGTGCTACCGGCACTTTGCATTTCTTTATAAATATTGAATTCCATGAGTCTGGACCAGGGGCCGAGTGCATGGGCATGTTTTCAATTTCTTTTTCAAAATTTAGTGCGCTCGTGTTGATATCAGTTATATTTACAAGGGTTTAAATATCCCGCATAAAGAAATTGTCTGGATCTTCCACTTTCATGTTGTTTATTGGAGTGCTAAACATGTCCTCATACTGCTTTTTTAGGATTTCACTAATTTCTTTGTCATCCTCCGTGTATGAACCTTCACTCGTACGAATAGGTCCAATACTGGCAGTGGTTTTTGCTTTTGATTTCGCATATGTGAAGAAGTATTTTGGATTTTTCTTTATTTCCTGAATTGCTTTCTGTTCTAACTGCCTTTCTTCAGTTTCATATGAGTGTTTCAATTTCCGCTCGATTTCTTCAATCTCCCTATTTAAATTATTCCTTCTTTGACGGGAAAGTCGTGTCTGCATAAGCAGTTCCGTTATTTTTTTCTTTCGTTTATCGTGTCGTCTGCGTTCTCTTTCTACGTTGGATCTCTTTCTGGCTTCCCTCAAAGGAACATGTTTCAGACAGACTTGATACGCTTCCGAAGTCAGTTTTTCTATTCCTTCTGTAGGACTTGTATTACTTAGAACAGTTTCCCATGGAATGTTTGTAAGTTCCCTGTTTATTATCTCCCAGTCTATCCTTTTATTATTAAAATTGAATTTACTGAATAGCCCCTCTCGCTTTATCAACGTTTTAGGTCTATTCTGAGTATTGATGGTCGTTTGCACTTCAATAAGCTTGTGATCTGAATATGTGGTATCTGATATCGTAATGTCTCTGATAATGTCTTCATTGTTCGTAAAGACCAGATCTAGAATATTTTCATTTCTCGTTGGCTCCGATATCTGCTGATTGAGTGAAAATTTGTCACAGAATCTAAGTAGTTCTCTAATCTGTGGTTGGTTAGGTCCCGATAGATTTCCTGGTACAATATTATTGTTTACTATTCACCACCTGAGACTAGGCAAGTTGAAGTCACCTAGGAAGATAATATCAGGTATCGGGTTCTCTAAATTATCAAGGCTCTTCTCTATTTTGTTTATCTGTTCTGTGAATTCCTCAGCCGTTGCATCTGGCGGTTTGTATATTAGAATAATCATTAAATTTATTTTCTCTATTTTTACTCCCAGTACCTCTACCACCTCATTTGTAACGTTAAGGAGCTCCGAGCATACAAGGTCTTCCCTAATATACAGACCCACTCCTCCATGTGACCTAATTTTCCTATCACACCTGTATAGGTTATATCCTGGAATCCAGATCTCACTGTCTAAGAATTCCCCTGCATAGGTTTCTGTGAAAGCTCCAAATACTGCATTTGACTCCGTGAGGAGGCCATTTATGAACTGTACTTTGTTGTTTGTTCTTGTTTTCAGTCCTTGTATGTTGGCAAAGATGAATGAGGTTACTCTATTAGTGATAGTTTGACTGGGAGACTTTTCGGCAAGTCCATTATGCGTGGACATATTGAGTTTGTTCTGACCAGTACTGATTGTTGTAGGGCAGTTGTCTGTCGTAGTTGTAGTTCCCTTTCGTTGTGTAATTGTATCTGTAATTCTGGAATGCAAGTGGATCTGGCATCCAGTTCCATACATTCTCCATGCTCCTCCTTTTGAATTCTCTTTCCGTCTAGTATAAAAAATTTATAGTTTCCTCCAAATTCATAATCCTGCTTGCCGCTCTTTATGTAGCGTTCCGTGCCTTTGTGGGCAGCTGAGGTCATAGCATTTTCTGTCCTCCAGTGAGGACACTGGATGACGGCCGGCACGACGGCCTGTCTGACGGCCTGTACTCACCTAGTTGTACTCACCTAGTTGTGTTTGCGGGGGTTGAGCTCTGGCTCTTTGGTCCCGCCTCTCAACTGTCAATCAACAGGTGTACAGATTCCTGAGCCTATCGGGCTCTGTCATATCTACACATGAAACTGTGTATGGAGTCAGCCTCCACCACATCACCCCCTAATGCATTCCATTTGTCAACCACTCTGACACTAAAAAAGTTCTTTCTAATATCTCTGTGGCTCATTTGGGCACTCAGTTTCCACCTGTGTCCCCTTGTGCGTGTTCCCCTTGTGTTAAATAGACTGTCTTTATCTACCCTATCAATCCCCTTCAGAATCTTGAATGTGGTGATCATGTCCCCCCTAACTCTTCTGTCTTCCAGCGAAGTGAGGTTTAATTCCCGTAGTCTCTCCTCGTAGCTCATACCTCTCAGCTCGGGTACTAGTCTGGTGGCAAACCTTTGAACCTTTTCCAGTTTAGTCTTATCCTTGACTAGATATGGACTCCATGCTGGGGCTGCATACTCCAGGATTGGCCTGACATATGTGGTATACAAAGTTCTGAATGATTCTTTACACAAGTTTCTGAATGCCGTTCGTATGTTGGCCAGCCTGGCATATGCCGCTGATGTTATCCGCTTGATATGTGCTGCAGGAGACAGGTCTGGCGTGATATCAACCCCCAAGTCTTTTTCCTTCTCTGACTCCTGAAGAATTTCCTCTCCCAGATGATACCTTGTATCTGGCCTCCTGCTCCCTACACCTATCTTCATTACATTACATTTGGTTGGGTTAAACTCTAACAATCATTTGTTCGACCATTCCTTCAGCTTGTCTAGGTCTTCTTGAAGCCTCAAACAGTCCTCTTCTGTTTTAATCCTTCTCATAATTTTAGCATCGTCCGCAAACATTGAGAGAAATGAATCGACACCCTCCGGGAGATCATTTACATATATCAGAAACAAGATAGGACCGAGTACAGAGCCCTGTGGGACTCCACTGGTGACTTCACGCCAATCGGAGGTCTCACCCCTCACCGTAACTTTCTGCTTCCTATTGCTTAGATACTCCCTTATCCACTGGAGCACCTTACCAGCTACACCTGCCTGTCTCTCCAGCTTATGTACCAGCCTCTTATGCGGTACTGTGTCAAAGGCTTTCCGACAATCCATGAAAATGCAGTCCGCCCAGCCCTCTCTTTCTTGCTTAATCTGTGTCACCTGATCGTAGAATTCTATCAAGCCTGTAAGGCAAGATTTACCCTCCCTGAATCCATGTTGGCGATTTGTCACGAAGTCCCTTCTCTCCAGATGTGTTACCAGGTTTTTTCTCAAGATCTTCTCCATCACCTTGCATGGTATACAAGTCAAGGACACTGGCCTGTAGTTCAGTGCCTTTTGTCTGTCGCCCTTTTTGTATATTGAGACCACATTCGCCGTCTTCCATATTTCTGGTAGGTCTCCCGTCTCTAGTGATTTACTATACACTATGGAGAGTGGCAAGCAAAGTGCCTCTGCACACTCTTTCAGTACCCATGGTGAGATCCCATCTGGACCAACAGCCTTTCTAACATCCAGATCCAGCAGGTGTCTCTTGACCTCCTCTCTCGTAATTTCGAACTCCTCCAAGGCCGCCTGGTTTACCTCCCTTTCTCCTAGCACAGTGACCTCACCCTGTTCTATTGCTCACCCTGTCACCCTGCTCACGCCTGCGTGACGGCCTACATGACGGCCTGCGTGACGGCCTGCATGACGGCCTACATAATGGCCTTCGTGACGGCCTACATGACGGCCTGCGTGACGGCCTGCATGACGGCCTACATGATGGCCAGCATGATGGCCTACATGACGGCCTACATGACAGCCTACATGACAGCCTACATGACGGACGCATGACGGCCTGCATGACGGCCTGCATGACGGCCTACATGACGGCCTTCATGACGGCCTACATGACGGCCTACATGACGGCCTTCATGACGGCCTTCATGACGGCCTGTTCCTCGCCACGTCATAGGCTTCACAAATACTCAGCTTTGAGAACATCAGTAGAGGAGGACGGGGTGGGAAGGGAACTATCAGGAGAGAACGTCAAGCCATAAGGACTATACAGCACTTGGAAGGGGTCAGGATAAGGATTTGGGATGGGACGGGGGAAAGGAATGGTGCCCAACCACTTGGACGGTCGGGGATTGAACGCAGACCTGCATGACCACCTGGTGTCACCTCCTGGTGTTGCCCGCCTGGGGTCACCACCTGGTGTGGCCCGCCTGGGGTCACCACCTGGTGTGGCCCGCCTGGGGTCACCACCTGGTGTGGCCCGCCTGGGGTCAACACCTGGTGTGGCCCACCTGGGGTCACCACCTGGTGTAGCCCACCTGGGGTCACCACCTGGTGTGGCCCACCTGGGGTCACCACCTGGTGTGGCCCACCTGGGGTCACCACCTGGTGTGGCCCACCTGGGGTCACCACCTGGTGTGGCCCACCTGGGGTCACCACCTGGTGTGGCCCACCTGGGGTCACCACCTGGTGTGGCCCGAGTGGGGTTACCCCCTGGTGTGGCCCGCCTGGGGTCACCACCTGGTGTGGCCCGCCTGGGGTCACCACCTGGTGTGGCCCGAGTGGGGTTACCCTCTGGTGTGGCCCGCCTGGGGTCTCCACCAGGTGTGGCCCGCCTGGGGTCACCACCTGCTGTGGCCCGAGTGGGGTTACCCCCTGGTGTGGCCCGCCTGGGGTCTCCACCAGGTGTAGCCCGCCTGGGGTCACCACCTGGTGTGGCCCGCCTGGGGTCTCCACCAGGTGTGACCCGCCTGGGGTCACCACCTGGTGTGGCCCGCCTGGGGTCACCACCTGGTGTGGCCCACCTGGGGTCACCACCTGGTGTGGCCCGCCTGGGGTCACCACCTGGTGTGGCCCACCTGGGGTCACGCCAGGGAACATGGCACCATCAACACAGCCAGGGAACATGGCACCATCAACACAGCCAGGGAACATGGCACCATCAACACAGCCAGGGAACATGGCACCATCAACACAGCCAGGGAACATGGCACCATCAACACAGCCAGGGAACATGGCACCACCAACACAGCCAGGGAACATGGCACCATCAACACAGCCAGGGAACATGGCACCACCAACACAGCCAGGGAACATGGCACCATCAACACAGCCAGGGAACATGGCACCACCAACACAGCCAGGGAACATGGCACCACCAACACAGCCAGGGAACATGGCACCACCAACACAGCCAGGGAACATGGCACCATCAACACAGCCAGGGAACATGGCACCACCAACACAGCCAGGGAACATGGCACCATCAACACAGCCAGGGAACATGGCACCACCAACACAGCCAGGGAACATGGCACCACCAACACAGCCAGGGAACATGGCACCATCAACACAGCCAGGGAACATGGCACCACCAACACAGCCAGGGAACATGGCACCACCAACCCAGCCAGGGAACATGGCACCACCAACACAGCCAGGGAACATGGCACCACCAACACAGCCAGGGAACATGGCACCATCAACACAGCCAGGGAACATGGCACCACCAACACAGCCAGGGAACATGGCACCACCAACACAGCCAGGGAACATGGCACCACCGACACAGCCAGGGAACATGGCACCACCAACACAGCCAGGGAACATGGCACCATCAACACAGCCAGGGAACATGGCACCATCAACACAGCCAGGGAACATGGCACCACCAACACAGCCATGTCGGAAAGCCTTTGACACAGTACCGCATAAGAGGCTGGTACATAAGCTGGAGAGACAGGCAGGTGTAGCCGGTAAGGTGCTCCAGTGGATAAGGGAGTATCTAAGCAATAGGAAGCAGAGAGTTACGGTGAGGGGTGAGACCTCCGATTGGCGTGAAGTCACCAGTGGAGTCCCACAGGGCTCTGTACTCGGTCCTATCTTGTTTCTGATATATGTAAATGATCTCCCTGAGGGTATCGATTCATTTCTCTCAATGTTTGCGGACGATGCTAAAATTATGAGAAGGATTAAAACAGAAGAGGACTGTTTGAGGCTTCAAGAAGACCTAGACAAGCTGAAGGAATGGTCGAACAAATGTTTGTTAGAGTTTAACCCAACCAAATGTAATGTAATGAAGATAGGTGTAGGGAGCAGGAGGCCAGATACAAGGTATCATCTGGGAGAGGAAATTCTTCAGGAGTCAGAGAAGGAAAAAGACTTGGGGGTTGATATCACGCCAGACCTGTCTCCTGCAGCACATATCAAGCGGATAACATCAGCGGCATATGCCAGGCTGGCCAACATACGAACGGCATTCAGAAACTTGTGTAAAGAATCATTCAGAACTTTGTATACCACATATGTCAGGCCAATCCTGGAGTATGCAGCCCCAGCATGGAGTCCATATCTAGTCAAGGATAAGACTAAACTGGAAAAGGTTCAAAGGTTTGCCACCAGACTAGTACCCGAGCTGAGAGGTATGAGCTACGAGGAGAGACTCCGGGAATTAAACCTCACTTCGCTGGAAGACAGAAGAGTTAGGGGGGACATGATCACCACATTCAAGATTCTGAAGGGGATTGATAGGGTAGATAAAGACAGTCTATTTAACACAAGGGGAACACGCACAAGGGGACACAGGTGGAAACTGAGTGCCCAAATGAGCCACAGAGATATTAGAAAGAACTTTTTTAGTGTCAGAGTGGTTGACAAATGGAATGCATTAGGAAGTGATGTGGTGGAGGCTGACTCCATACACAGTTTCAAGTGTAGATATGACAGAGCCCGATAGGCTCATGAATCTGTACACCTGTTTATTGACGGTTGAGAGGCGGGACCAAAGAGCCAGAGCTCAACCCCCGCAAACACAACTAGGTGAGTACTAGGTGAGTACAGCCAGGGGACATGGCACCACCAACACAGCCAGGGAACATGGCACCACTAACACAGCCAGGGAACATGGCACCACCAACACAGCCAGGGAACATGGCACCACCAACACAGCCAGGGAACATGGCACCACTAACACAGCCAGGGAACATGGCACCACCAACACAGCCAGGGAACATGGCACCACCAACACAGCCAGGGAACATGGCACCACCAACACAGCCAGGGAACATGGCACCACCAACACAGCCAGGGAACATGGCACCACCAACACAGCCAGGGAACATGGCACCACCGACACAGCCAGGGAACATGGCACCACCAACACAGCCAGGGAACATGGCACCACCAACACAGCCAGGGAACATGGCACCACCAACACAGCCAGGGAACATGGCACCACCAACACAGCCAGGGAACATGGCACCACCAACACAGCCGGGGAACATGGCACCACCAACACAGCCAGGGAACATGGCACCACCGACACAGCCAAGGAACATGGCACCACCGACACAGCCAGGGAACATGGCACCACTAACAAAGATCAACATCGCGCCTTGCCAGCTATAATGACTTAATTGTTTCCTGTGAAAATAATAAACGTGACGCCAAGCAGCACGTCTGGATGAGGTCTCGCTTCATGCAGGTCGGGGTTCAAACCCCGACTGTGCAAATGGTTGGTCGCCATTCCTCTCCCCCGTCCCACATCCCCAATCCTTATCCTGATCCCTTCCAAGTGCTATATAGTCGTAATGGCTTGGCGTTTTCTCCTGCTAGTTTTCTTCGCTTCCCCTTCCTGTGAAATTGTGACAAAATAATCGTGGCTGACAGCTTGGACAGTGTCAGGCAGGCTGGACCAGTCGTGGCTGACAGCTTGAACAGTGTCAGGCAGGCTGGACCAATCGTGGCTGACAGCTTGGACAGTGTCAGGCAGGCTGGACCAATCGTGGCTGACAGCTTGGACAGTGTCAGGCAGGCTGGACCAATCGTGCCTGACAGCTTGAACAGTGTCAGGCAGGCTGGACCAATCGTCGCTGACAGCTTGGACAGTGTCAGGCAGGCTGGACCAATCGTGGCTGACAGCTTGAACAGTGTCAGGCGGTCTGGACCAATCGTGGCTGACAGCTTGGACAGTGTCAGGCAGGCTGGACCAATCGTGGCTGACAGCTTGGACAGTGTCAGGCAGGCTGGACCAATCGTGGCTGACAGCTTGAACAGTGTCAGGCAGGCTGGACCAATCCTAGGTAATAGTTTGAACAGTGTCAGGCGGTCTGGACCAATTTGGCTGACATCAGCCAGTCGTAGTCGCATTGATCCAGGGTAAACAACACGGGTCCTGGTATGGTGAAAATGGGGTCCAGGGAGGTCTGGCTGAGGTCCAGGTGAGGTCAGAATGATGTCCAGTTGAGGTCAGGCTAAGGTCCAGGTGAGGTCAGAATGATGTCCAGGTGAGGTCGAGACAGATACACAAGGGATGAAGTGTGATAGCTTACAGGACCCTGAGCAACGATGCCTGCCAGACGCGCCCCAGGGTTTGTTGTAGTGGTGTTGAGTTAATTGTTGTGGGAAGGGCTTGGAGGGGTGGGGAGCGGAGCAGCGCTGTGGCAGTAAGGTCCGCCTCGCCGGGGCAGACGCAACCCACTCCCCAGTCAGGAAGGTTGCCTTGGCCGTCGCCACCTCAAGACAGAAGAGGACTCCCGTGTAGGCTACCTGAGGGGCGGAATTATATTGAGTTAGGACTGTGAACTCGTAGGAGAGATACTGAGACACCAGGCACGGGGTTCTCTGTTGCTTTCCCCTCTCTCTTCAACCACATCAAGAAGCTGCTGACGAAGGCAGTGGATGGCAGCTGGTGACGAAGGCAGTGGATTAGAGTCGCTGCATATGACGAGGAGATTGGGTCCGCCTCCGATTAAACAATCAACCTCAAAATGTGGAGAACAATCATTATTTGAACGTTGGAAAGTGTGATATTTGAAGCTCGCATAGACAAGTGTCTCTGACTTATTAGAACAACAAGACAAGTGTCTGTAAAGCAAAAAGTAAGAAAAGTGTCAGAAGAAGAAGTACAACAGAATGAGTACAAAACAGAGATCACAGTAGTTGATATAATCTAATCTAATGAACATTGAGCGCAAGGTGTAGGAGGGCCAACCTAACAACCTGTATACAGAGGTCAACAGCCGCCCTCTGCCACCCCCGACCCCCCTACCCTCCATACACACACCTGCCACAGCTGCACCCAACTTTGCCAGCACCTAGCCCCTCACCCTCACACGTCACCCCGTCAACCCTACCCACAGCTAACAAACAACCCACCCTACCCACAGCTAACAAACAACCTACCCTACCCACAGCTAACAAACAAACAACCCTACCCACAGCTAACAAACAACCCACCCTACCCACAGCTAACAAACAACCCACCCTACCCACAGCTAACAAACAACCTACCCTACCCACAGCTAACAAACAAACAACCCTACCCACAGCTAACAAACAACCCACCCTACCCACAGCTAACAAACAACCCACCCTACCCACAGCTAACAAACAACCTACCCTACCCACAGCTAACAAACATCCTACCCTACCCACAGCTAACAAACAACCCACCCTACCAACAGCTAACAAACAACCTACCCTACCCACAGCTAACAATCAGCCCACCCTACCCACAGCTAACAAACAACCCACCCTACCCACAGCTAACAAACAACCTACCCTACCCACAGCTAACAAACAAACAACCCTACCCACAGCTAACAATCAGCCCACCCTACCCACAGCTAACAATCAGCCCACCCTACCCACAGCTAACAATCAGTGCACCTTATCCACAGCTAACAATCAGCCCACCCTACCCACAGTCAACAATCAGCCTACCCTACCCACAGCCAACAATCAGCCTACCCTACCCACAGCCAACAATCAGCCCACCCTACCCACAGCCAACAATCAGCCCACCCTACCCACAGCCAACAATCAGCCCACCCTACCCACAGCCAACAATCAGCCCACCTTACCCACAGCCAACAATCAGCCCACCCTACCCACAGTCAACAATCAGCCCACCTTACCCACAGTTAACAATCAGCCCACCTTACCCACAGTCAACAATCAGCCCACCTTACCCACAGTCAACAATCAGCCCACCCTACCCACAGCCAACAATCAGACCACCTTACCCACAGCCAACAATCAGCCCACCTTACCCACAGCCAACAATCAGCCCACCTTACCCACAGCCAACAATCAGCCCACCTTACCCACAGCCAACAATCAGCCCACCCTACCCACAGTCAACAATCAGCCCACCCTACCCACAGCCAACAATCAGCCCACCCTACTCACAGCCAACAATCAGCCCACCCTACCCACAGCCAACAATCAGCCTACCCTACCCACAGCCAACAATCAGCCCACCTTACCCCACAGCCAACAATCAGCCCACCCTACCCACAGCCAACAATCAGCCCACCCTACCCACAGTCAACAATCAGCCCACCCTACCCACAGCCAACAATCAGCCCACCCTACCCACAGCCAACAATCAGCCCACCCTACCCACAGTCAACAATCAGCCCACCCTACCCACAGCCAACAATCAGCCCACCTTACCCCACAGCCAACAATCAGCCCACCCTACCCACAGCCAACAATCAGCCCACCCTACCCACAGTCAACAATCAGCCCACCCTACCCACAGCCAACAATCAGCCCACCCTACCCACAGTCAACAATCAGCCCACCCTACCCACAGTCAACAATCAGCCCACCCTACCCACAGTCAACAATCAGCCCACCCTACCCACAGTCAACAATCAGCCCACCCTACCCACAGTCAACAATCAGCCCACCCTACCCACAGTCAACAATCAGCCCACCCTACCCACAGTCAACAATCAGCCTACTCTCCGCACATAATTCCCTCAGAGGAGTTGACGTTGAGGAAAACTTTCCTCGTGTTCCTCAACAGTGTGATTCACCCGCCTTAACTTCCAGCTATTTCCTGCTGCTTACGGAGTGAGGCAGCAGCCGACTGAGGGCGCCCAGAGTCTAAATTAACCTCTTGAGAAAACATAGCCCTTGAGGGGAGTTTACCTGCCTGATAAAAGCTCTTACGTTGAAGGTAATGGCCGCTACGATACTCTTGCCTGGCCCGGCTCTCCGGAGATTTATATTATGGGTTTTCTCTCTGCTTTTAAGCGTGCTAGACACTTATTCTGAAGCACCAAGACGTCCAGAAATGCATTCAGGGAACGCTGATCAGGACCGTTCACCCAACAAAAACTAAGTCATTCAGGCCTTCCTGTAGCGTAGATATTATTTTACCCTGCGACTTTTGCGAGGGAAGAATGTCGAACACGTCATCTGGACGTCACATTGCCCGCCACCATGCCCATGTTCACAGCCGGATGTCCTAAGCATTGTAAGGATACCCAAGATTCTAGTGGAGGACCCGGGGCACCATCATGCCCATGTTCTCAGCGGGATTTGGCCATGAAAAAGGTTGTTTTCCCCGAGGTCATCCCGTGACTGACCCGTTGGACGACGAAGTGGACATCCTCCCCAGAGTGAGGGTAGGTACTCTTACTTGCTCTTTCTCATATATATATATATATATATATATATATATATATATATATATATATATATATATATATATATATATATATATATATATATATATATATATATATATATATTGGTAGCAGTCTTTCTTGTAAACATATGTTGTTGAATATGACCGAAAGGGTAAGATTAATAAGTCTAACACGAATCTTCTCAATATTTCTTACGTTCTTCTTCACTGTCGAAGGAAATTGATAAAGTAACTCTCCAAAATTCATTCTTTTTATTCCTGGTTTGACGCCTGAACGCTTTTCGTAATTCCTTATTACATTTTCAAAGACTTAGTTTACATACAAAATACATTCATACTTATACACGTTTTGGGTGAGGTGATATGGCACAAAAGTTATGGGTGAGGTAAATTAGAAGACAGAACACGAAACAATGGGTATGAGATAATAAGAATGGAAGTAACTGCAGAAGGTCTATTGGCCCATATTTCGTCTTGCTGCTTCCATATTGGTTCGGGGTCTTGAAGTGGGTAGAATATAGTTGTGCATTAATTGTCTGTTGATTGCTGGTGTTGACTTTTTGATGTGTAGTGCCTCGCTGATGTCGAGTCTCCTGCTATCGGTGTATTTATCGATGATTTCTGTGTTGCTTGTCAAGATTTCTCTGGTGATGGTCTGGTTGTGAGAAGAGATTATATGTTCCTTGATGGAGCCCTGTTGTTTGTGCATAGTTAATCGCCTAAAAAGAGAAGTTCTTGTCTTGCCTGTATACTGAATTCGTTGAGGCTTAACAGTCCCCAAGCAGGCATGTGAAGGCATAGACGACGTTGGTTTCTTTCAAGGCGTTCTGTTTGGTGTCTGGGGAATTTTTCATGAGTAGGTTGGCCGTTTTTTTATTTTTGTAATAAATTGTCAATTGTATTTTCTGATTTTTGTCTGTAGGGATAACGTTTCGATCAATAATGACTTTCAGGACCCTTTCCTCTGTTTTATGAGCCGTCGAAAAGAAGTTCCTGTAAAACAGTCTAATAGGGGGTATAAGTGTTGTGTTAGTTGACTCTTCGAAGGTTGCATGGAATTTCACCTTTCTTCTTATGACGTCTTCAACAAAACCGTTAGAGAAGCCGTTGTTGACTAGGACCTGCCTTACCCTACAGAGTTCTTCATCGACTTGCTTCCATCCTGAGCTGTGGCTGAGAGCCCGGTCGACGTAAGCGTTGACAACACTCCTCATGTACCTGTCTGGGCAGTCACTATTGGCATTGAAGCACGTTCCCATGTTTGTTTCCTTAGTGTAGACTGTAGTATGGAAGCCTCCGTTCCTTTTCGTGACTGTTACATCTAGAAAAGGCAGCTTCCCATCCTTCTCCATCTCGTACGTGAAACTCAACACAGAATTCTGCTCGAATGCCTCCTTCAGCTCCTGCAGACGTCTGAGATCAAGTGCCTTGCATAAAAATGTCGTCAAACATACCTTCAGTATATAGCGGGTTTCAAGTCCATGTCAACTAAGACCCTCTGCTCGATGGTACCCATGTAGAAGTTCGCAAACAGGACACCTAGGGGAGAACCCATGGCGACCCCATCTACTTGCTTATACATGTGCCCACCTGGACTAAAGAAGGGTGCCTCTTTAGGCTTGGAGTAGCTTCCTTAGTATGTTCTCTGGTATGTCAAGAGGAGTACAGGCCGGATCACGATACACTCTATCCGCTATCATCCCGATTGTTTCATCCACATGTACGTTGGTAAACAGTGATTCTACATCCAACGAAGCTCTTATCCCTGTGGCCCGTGTTTCCCGCAGTAAGTCGACAAATTCCTTTGGCGACTTCAGGCTGAAATCAAAGGGTACATAAGGGGTCAGCAAGCAGTTGAGTCGCTTAGCCAGTCTGTATGTGGGTGTGGGTATCTGGCTGATGATTGGCCGAATTGGGTTTCCAGGCTTGTGGGTCTTGACATTCCCATACGCATGACCAGGTTTGTATTCCCAAAAACCTTTGGCAGGTGGAGTCCGGATTTCTTGGCGTTCACAGTTTCGATCAATCTGTTTACCTTCGTTTTCAGTTCGGCTGTAGTGTCCTTCGTTACCCTTTGGAATTTAGTTTGGTCGGAGAGTATGAGGTTCATTTTTGCCAGATATTCATCTTTTTTAAGAATAACATATATTGGCGACTTGTCACCTCTTTTGACAACTATCTCCTTGTTATCACGAAGGCTCTTAGCTGCCGCTTTGAGCTCGGGGGACAGTATGGTGCTTCTGTAGTTCCCTCGAGTCTTTCCTCCTTCTGCAATAAGTTCTGCTTGTAAGGTGTCTTTGGTGGTAACCTTCTTTTGCGTCTCGAGACGCAAGACACACACACACACCCACACACACACACACGCACGCACACACACACCCACACACACACACACACACACACACACACACACACACACACACACACACACACACACACACACACACACACACACACACACGCGCACACACACACACACACACACACACACACACACACACACACACACACACACACACACACACACACACACACACACACACACACACACACACACACACACACACGCACGCACGCACACACACACACACACACACACATACGCACCGCAAGCACAATTAGTTGAGTACACACACAGGGGGCCTGGTAGCCTAGTGGATAGCACGCAGGACTCGTAATTCTGTGGCGCGGGTTCGATTCCCGCACTAGGCAGAAACAAATGGGCAAAGTTTCTTTCACCCTGAATGCCCTTGTTACCTAGTGGTAAATAGGTACCTGGGAGTTAATCAGCTGTCACGGGGTGCTTCCTGGGGTGTGTGTGTGTGGTGTTGAAAAAAAAGTAGTTAATAAATAGTTGATTGACAGTTGAGAGGCGGGCCGAAAGAGCAAAGCTCAATCCCTGCAAACACAACTAGGTGAATACACACACACCTAGGAAGCAGCCCGTAGCAGCTGGCCAACTCCTAGGTACCTATTTACTGCTAGGTAAACAGTGGCATGAGGGTGCAAGAAACTCTGTCCATTTGTTTATACCTCGGCCGAGAATCGAACCTGGGTCCTTAGGACTAAGACCCCCGAGTACTGTCCACTCAGCCGTGAGGCCCCACAAGGAGTGTGTGTGTGTATTCACCTAGTTGTGCTTGCTGGGGTGAGCTCTTCTCTATTCGAGTTCAAGTTCAAGTATGTTTATTGAGACAAGAAAGAAATACATCTTAAAGGGATAGAGTAGCTTAGGCTATTTCTACCCCCCCCCCTAGACCCCTTCCCATGCCGGGAATCGAACCCGGGCCTCCTGGGTGAAAGCCAGGTATCCTAGCCACTAGACCACATGGGATCTCACGCTTTGCTCTTTTGGTCCGCCTCTCAACTGTCAATCAATCAACTGTTACTAACTACTACTAATTTTTTTTTTCTCTCTCTCTCACACACACCCTGGGACGCAGCCTGTAACAGCTGTCTAACTCCCAGGTACCTATTTACTGCTAGGTAACTGGGGCATCAGGGTGAAAGAAACTTTGCCCATTTTGTTTTCCGTCCGAGCCGGGAATCGAGCCCTGGACCACAGGACTACGTATCCAGTGTGCTGTTCACTCAGCCACGGGCGCCCCGGTGTGTGTGTGTGTGCTCACCTAATTGTGAGTACAATTAGGTGAGTACACACACACACTCACACACACACACACACACACACACACACACATACACACATACACACACACTGTGTGTGTGTGTGTGTGTACTCACCTATTTGTGCTTGCGGAGATTGAGCTTTGTCTCTTTGGTCCCGCCTCTCAACTGTCAATCAACTGGTGTACAGGTTCCTGAGCCTACTGGGCTCTATCACATATACACTTGAAACTGTGTATGGAGTCAGCCTCCACCACATCACTGCCTAATGCATTCCATTTACTAACTACTCTGACACTGAAAAAATTCTTTCTAATGTTTCTGTGGCTCATTTGGGTACTCAGTTTCCACCTGTGTTCCCTTGTTCGTGTTCCACCCGTGCTGAAGAGTTTGTCTTTGTCCCCCCTGTCAATTCCCCTGAGAATTTTGTAGGTGGTTATCATGTCTCCCCTTTCTCTTCTGTTTGTGTGTGTGTGTGTAATTACCTAAGTGTAATTACCTAAGTGTAGTTACAGGATGAGAGCTACGCTCGTGGTGTCCCGTCTTCCCAGCACTCTTCGTCATATAAAACTTTGAAACTACTGACGGTCTTGGCCTCCACCACCTTCTCACCTAACTTGTTCCAACCGTCTACCACTCTGTTTGCGAAAGTGAATTTTCATATATTTCTTCGGCATCTGTGTTTAGCTAGTTTAAATCTATGACCTCTTGTTCTTAAAGTTCCGGGTCTCAGGAAATCATCCCTATCGATTTTATCACTTCCTGTTACTATTTTGTATGTAGTGATCATATCACCC